TTCGTGGCCCCATAGGGAGCTCCACCGAAGCCACCACTGGCACCGCCCGCATGCGTCGGCCACCACCCTTCGTGGCCCCGTAGGGAACTCCACAGAAAGGCCCCAGTGGCACCGTCCGCATGCGCCTCCCTCAACCAGTACAGCCTTTCGTGGCCTCATCGGGAGCTCCAGCGAGGGGCACCGCCCGCATGCGTCCGCCAGACCCAGTGCAGTTGAGGCCCATGCCAAGAAACACTCTGCTTGCCTTCAGGGTGCCCTGGGTTTCTTGGGCTTCGATGGTTTTGCCATGGAGAGCGTGACGTTCGCACACCAAAAAATCCATGGACGCCCTGGGGTCTCAGGGTCGAGTTTCTTCCAGAAGGTTTCTTGTGGTCGGACCTCCACTGTACAGCGTTTTGTGGCCACATACGGAGCCCAAAGGCCCCAGTGGCACCGCCTGCATGCGTCTCCCCCGCGCATTATGGCACGTCCCCCACGCGTTCCGTGGCCCCATGAGGAGCTCCACCGGAAGCGGCACCCACAACGCGTTACTCACAATTTCATATGGTTGGGTCCCTCGGCAGGATATTTGAAGGATTTTTGCATCATCGGGACCTCCTTGGGGAGCTCTTTTGGCCACTTGGAGCTGTCTAGGAGCATTCTTGGGGCCTCTTGGAGCATCTTGGGGGCCATCTTGAGGCATCTTGGGCTATCTTGAGCCATCCTGGAAATCATCTTGGGATTTCTGAGGCGCTCTTGGAGCCGTCGTCTTGGGCCATCTTGGACGCTCCAACGCCTCGCGGGACGCCGCGTCCAGGTCCAGGGAAGTGGGGTAAGGGGGAGATGTGAACCCCTCCCCGAAGGGGAAGAAGGGGTTTGGAATGGGAAGCGCTCTAGACCACCTACGCCCAGATGGCTGGTGGGATGTTTTACAGTTTTAAGAGAAGCTGCGGCCTCGCGCGCCTTGCTCAGATGGGCTCGAGCTCGCGTGCTTCGCGGCATGTGCTGGGATCGGTGCCTCGCTCGCTCGCTCCTCCTCCCCCCTCCCCCCCTGCCTCCTCCCGCCCTCCTTCTCTGGGATCGAATTCACCCCCGAAGCGCATTTGTTTTTGTTTTGTCTCCCCCTCCCCCTCCCCGCCGAAGAGCGGCGGCAAGAGCGGCATGTGACCCCCCTGCGCCACCCGCCGCTCCTGCCTGTCTCAAAGCCCCATGGCGCCCGCGCCTCTGGGATGCCTTCCAGCCGCCCCGCCCCCCGTGGGATCCGACGTCGCGGACAACTGCAGTATCCCGAGCCCGCTCGCGTCCTCAAAAAATCACGACGGATATTTTTGTTCATATTTTCTGCCCCTGGAGGCCTTCGTCGGGCCATGGGATCTTCTCAAACAATGGTTTAGAATGAACAACCGTCCCCTGGGAATGGGTCCAGACCTCCTGGGGCCACGTTAAGACAACAAAAAACACGACGTCGGGGGTCCAGGCTTGGACTTTGGGAATATTTTAAGGCTTTGAGGTAGGGGAACTGTGTAATGTGGCCAGGGCTTCCACTCTCTCGCCCTGGTCGGTTTGTAGCCCGATGGTTGTATTATTCCATGCGGTTTCCAACTTCCATTTTTCTCAGCTTCTCTTCAGCATCTGGTGAATTTACGACCAGAGCCCTGGGCACAATCTCCCAGCGGCACCTCGTGGGTTGGGCCGATCCCGCGGGGGCCCCGAGATGGTTCGAGCCCGCTGGGCGTAAGCGCTCGCTAGGTGTGCGTGCTGGAACGCTCCGAAGCGGTTGCGGCGCCCTATGCGTTCAGTAGCAACCCATGGGAGCCTTATATGTCCTCGACATTTTGCCTTCAGAGTGCATTAGCGTGCGCTATAGCGTCTGGTAGTCGATGAGGAAGTGCAGAATGCAGCAACGATTAGCGTAGATGTAGCGTCGATTGGCGTCGATTTGCGTCGATTAGAGTCGGCTTGAGTCGATTCGCAAGAGGTAAAGATGACATGGGAGTCTTCCATGAGTTGCCACTTGAGTTGCTTCCTCCAGGCCCGCCGGGTCTCAGATAATTTTTCTCCGTCCGAATTGAATTTCATCTCTCCGCCCCGCCTTCGTCTGAGCGCCCCGACCACCATCCCCGCCGCCGACCTGCCGACGACGCCGACGACGACGCCGACGATGACGCCCGCGCCCGCGCCCAACCCCACGCCCACGCCCACGCCGACGCCAACGCCGACGCCGACGCCGACGCCGCGGTCGCCGCCGCCGCCGCCGCCGCCGCCGACGACGACGACGACGACGACGACGACGACGACGACGACGAGGGCGAGGACTACGACGACGACGCTGGGGCCGACGAAGGCGAAGACGTGGCGGTCGACGACGACCCAGACATCCGACGTCTTGATTTTTTTGTTCAGTGCGAGGCCAGTTTTTCATGTCGGGTCATCTGTTGGCGATCCCGCGGCCAGGCGAGGGCCCCTAGAGGCCGAAAACCACAAAAACCTCCGCATGGAATTCTTCAATACGCTGGGGTACAAGGGCGACGACGCCGCGGTGGCCCCGCCATTCCGAGATGACTACGCGCTGCTCCCTGGCGGGGTGCCTTGGCCTGGCACCCACCCGGCCGCCAGCGCGCCGGCGCCAGCGCCAGCTGCGCCGCTGCAGGCTCGCCCGTGCGGCCACCGCGACTTCTGCGTGGGGTGGCGGATCAGGGGAGGAACAGACTCCGCTACCGCTGCTCGTCCTGGAGAGCCCTCGTAGCCATGGCTGGATTCTCAGCGCACCCCAGGAGAGGTCAGGGGAGCAGTGGTATCGTGACTGATTTGCCACCCTGGCGGAGGCGACGATGATGACGGCGACGGCGACGGCGACCGCACCTTCGGCGGGCGGCGACGGCGAGGACATCGGCGAAGCGGATAGCGGCGGCGGGCGAGGACCGGAACGATTCAGTCATAGGTCCGAGACGGAGGGCCAAGAAGGGCCAGCCATGAGATTAGCCTGCGATCCTCGATCCCTCCTTGCCTCCTTCCCCTCCCTTCCCCTCCCCTCCTGCCGTCTAATCCCATGCGTTTCCCTCGCCACCCTTCTTCTCGGCCTCCTCTTTCCTCTCTCCCCTCCCCCCCGAGATTCTGACCAGAACACGCCCTTGGCAGGATCCAAAGAGTCGACACGTTTGGTCTTAAAGCTTCGACCTTCGACGTCATTCTTTTTTGTATTTCTGTTTTCCGCCTTGAGCTCTGTTCAATCCAGTCTTCTCTTGCAGTTTCGGCTTCGTTCGGCTTCGGGGGGAGTGGGTTTTGGCGGCTCGCGAGGCGTCCGCGGCAGCCTCGGCCTCCAAGCCCCAACACTAGAGGACGCCAAGGTATGCACCCGCACCGATCCTGGCCGGGTCCATCCCGCGCCTGGGGTCGGCGCACGCGCGCCTGCTTGGCCAGGCCAGGAGGGCAGCAGGCCACCCGCGGGAGGCGCAAACACATCAATCGCGCTTCGCGCGTCGCGGTCTGGGCCACGGGAGCGGCGCCAGGGCGCGAGGGCGCGAAGTTGACCGCGCATCACGGGGCGCGGGGCGCGACATTGGGTGACTTAGGCGCGCCCTCCCTGCCAGGTGTGGAGGGGGGCGTGAGCACCGGTCCTCGAGCGCGTCTCTCCCGCCCCCCTGGCCGCTCCCCGCGGCCGTTCTGCTCCTCGGCTTTCGCTCCCCGCGCTCAGTTCGCGATTCCGCAGCCTGGTCTGCCGCTTCGACCGCGCTGAGCGCCCGAAGGCGCTGTGACCAAAGCTCACCGAGCCTCCGCCCCAGGGTGCCCAGGGGAGAGGCCCCGCCAGGGGTCGGCACCCCTCCCCAGGGTGCGAGGCTCGGCGCGCGCCCGCCTGCCAGGCGGACCTGCGGTGAAGAAGGTACTCGGGGCTCTCGTGGCGGGGGTCTGCCCAAGGCTTGGGAGCCACGTGGGGCCGATTCCCCTTGTCCGCCCTCCGCTGACCCGGGTTTGAGAGTTACCAAGCGGCCAGCCTGGCTTCGCGACAGGGCCTTGGCCGACCCGGGTTTGGGCAGCCCAGGTTGGTACGTTTGCGAGACGAGGTTGTTCCCGAGACCGGCGCGGTGGAATATTCCCCACAGAGGGAAGCTGGAAGAAGTGTCCAGGGTCAGCCCTTCAACTCTCTTCAGCCCTTGCAAGTTTTTCTCCAGCCCTGGCGTCCTCATCTGAGCTGTCTCGGGCTTGCTTCAGCCCCTGCCAGTTTTTCCAGCCCTGGCCATCTCGACTTTCATGGAATTTCAAACTTCAACTTTTTCCAGACGCAATGCTGTAGCTGCTTGTTGAGCAGGGAATGTTCCGTGGAATTTCCAACTTCATGAGCTGAGCAGTGCCTTGTTGCAGAGGCAAGTGTATCTAGTTATCTGGACTACTAACCAGGTGCCCGGGGGGACACCCTCGCCGTGACGCTATCTCCCTCCGCCTCCTTCTACTCCCCCTCCTCCCTCTCCGCCCTCCCACTCTCCTCCGTGCGTTCTGAAAAGGCCACCCGGCGATAGGAAAAGAGGCCGTTATGGGAAGACGTAGGCTGGAGAAGTCGGCAGACACGCTGCTGCCTTCTGCGCTGCTTGCGGTTCCACCAGCGAAGATATTGCAATCATCCTGGCAGACCGCTAGAAGACAGCTGGGCGGAGATACTGTGCACCGTGGTAGCTTGTTTTCACTGCCCATGTACAGCAGCTACACCATGTCCATCTTCCGTGTAGCATCTTGGGACCTCACGACCAGAGACCTGTACCCAACATTTCGGCGGCATCGCTCGAGCCGGGCCGATCCCGAGAGGGCTCCGATGGCCCGAGCCCGGGCGAACGCGCCCAGCAGGCCTTGGATGAAGACGAATCGTTCCAGAGCGTACCGCAACGCTCTGAGAGCGTTGCGGAGCGCTCTGAAACGGCCGCGGCGCCCGATCCGTCTTCCAGACCCGCCGACCCTCAGAGATTCCTGGTCTGTCTTGGTCCAGATGCATCATCGTCAAGCCTTCGTCTCCCCTTCCCCGCCGCACGCAGGTCTTCTGCACGAATTGCGGCAACGAGTGCAACACTTCCCACCGCTTCTGCGGCTTCTGCGGCAGCCAGGTGGGCGCCGCTGGCGCCACGCCCGCCTCGATGCAGGCGCCGTCGCCCCCCATTCTCAGGGGGGGCCAGGCTGGACCGGATCGGAAGCCTGCTGCTATTCTTCCCCGAGTCAGTCGGAGGTTGGGGGGGTGTGAACGGAAGCGACCCCAGCCGGGAAATCGGTTTCGGTTTCGGTTCGTGTCGTGGGTGCAGGCGAGTTCTTGCACTGGCAGGGGCCATCTATTGCCAAAAGGGCCGCCCTCCCCCCCTTTTGCTGGTCGTATCTCCCCGATTGTCCCGGCGTCTGTCCCTGCGGTTGTCCCGATGGTTTTTCCTGTGGTTGTCCCGATGGTTGTCCCCCCGGTTGTCCCGGCGGTTGTCCCGATGGTCGTCCCGATGGTTGTCCCGATGGTTATCCCGATGTTTGTCCCGATGCTTGTCCCGATGGTTGCCCCGATGGTTTCCCGATGGTTGTCCCGATGGTTGCCACGATGGTTGTCCCGATGGTTGTCCCAATGGTTGTGCCGATGTTTGTCCCGATGGTTGCCCTGATGGTTGTCCCGATGGTTGTCCCGATGGTTGCCCCGATGGTTGTCCCGATGTTTGTCCCGATGGTTGTCCTGATGGTTGCCCCGATGATTGCCCCGATGGTTGTCCAGATGATTGTCCTGATGTTTGTCTGGACGGTTCATAGACAGGTAAATCGATGGGTAGGTAGATGGGTCGGTAAATAGATCGGGCGATATATGGCTAGATGATAGATGGATAGATGGGTAGATAGGTTGCTAGATAGGATGCTAGATGGGTTGGTAGATAGGTTGCTAGATGGGTCGGTAGATGGGTAGGTAGGTAGATAGGTAGATGGGTAGGTAGCTAGCTTCATGTATTGGTATATTCACATATTGCTTGATTGCTAGTGGGGTAGATATGACATGTTGTTTTATCTTCAGGGAAGGGTTTATGCATTGATCTGTTGATAACTTGATAAACATATCGATCCATCTGTATACATACAGTTTGGACATACTGGCATGTATATTTTGTATATGTTGATCGCTTGATCCGCTCATGTATAGTTAGATGGGTAAATTCATATGTTGTGTATAGCTAGTGTGCAAGCGACGCTGGCATCGCGCCGTGGTGCACAGCATGTAGCGAACACCATCATGTCACATCGCGTCGCTCATGTCACCGTCATAACACCTAACAAGCGGTGCCATCGTTCCAGTTTAATATATAGACATGGACAGACGCATAGGTCGGTAGATAACTAGAAATACGTAGATACATACAAGCATGTGCATACATATTAGATAGATAGATGGGTGCCCTGAATAGATACTCCGATCGATAGGTCGACAGGTAGATGGGTAGATACGCGCGACGATCGGACAGTTCGAGAAACCACCAAATGACCCAGAGCCATCGCACATCGACCGCCTCCCCCTCACCCCCGAACCTCCTTATCATCCGTAGGGTGGTCCTATCGGTATGAAAGAAAGGGCACCGAGGAAAAGTGGTCTTAAGTTCTGATTTCGTAGTTTTGGTTTGGGCATTTCGGGTTTCTCCCGGGCCCTGGTACCGTCAGGAAACGACTCGGGGGAAAGAGTCGGCCTGGGGGAGTTCTCCTGGTGTCTATTCCCTCAGGGACCGGTTCCCTCGTGTGTTTGAAGCCTTTTTCTTGCCTCCTATCCTCCTGGCTCTGACCCGCCTCTTCCCTTCTCTTTGCCCGCCAGTTGTACCATCGCCAGTCCTGTCCTTATCCCTGGTGGGCCAGGTTTCCTTGGCGCGACCAGCTTTACTCCCCGTCATGGCGTAGACGGATGCAGCGAAACCAAGCGGAGACGGCATGAATCCCCACGTGAGGTACAGGTTGGACGCCGGGGCCAACTCTTTCCAAATGGGGGTGGCATCGTGAATGTGGATACGTCTAAAGATGCTAATCTCCTCCTCCTGGCTCTGATCCTCTTCTCTCCACTCTCCTCCCCGCTCTCCTCCTCCCCGCGAACGAGGAGGACGGGTATCTTCCTTGTTTCCTCCTCCTCCTCCCCCTCCTCGTCCTCCTCCTCCCCTTCCTCTTCCTCCTCCTCCCCTCGTCCTTTCTTCCTTCTCAATGCAGATGATGTGCTAACCTGGCTGTCCACCCACCCTTGTCGGTGGACGGAAGTTGATATCCGCTTGTCGTGCTTTGATGGTTGGGGAAAGTTGTCACTCGCCCTTCGTGCCCAAAGCTAGGATGCCCATCTATGTCGATAGATAGGCATGGGCATTCCGCCGTTGCAATGAGGGTTTTGCTAAGCACGCCGATGCTTTGACCCGTTTCAATACAGGCATGGGCATCCCGCCCCCGCAATAAAAAGTGTTATTTGGCATACGAACACTCTGGCCCGCTTAAAAGCCATGCTTCGGCCAGATTGCAGCTGCGGGCAAGGCAGTAGTCGACGTCGACCGTATTTCTAGTAGGTGGCGCGTTTGCTTGGCTGCCCGACTCCGTAGGCGTACAGGCAGCGGCGCCCGCTTTTCGTGTCCGAAGCTCGGCCACCCACCCCGATCAATGAACAAGCATGGGCATCCTGCCCTCGCACGCGGGTCTGCTAGGCATCGGAGAACTTCCCGCGCCACTGCGCGGGCGGGGCGTGCGAACGTTGTCTAACGCATTGTGTGCGTGAACATGTGTACACGAGTAATTATATAAGTCGCACGCCGTTGGTGCGAGTAGACGCGAGACCTCCCGTGCGAGCGTTGGGGAGAGAGAGAGAGAGAGAGAGAGGGAACGAGAGCGAGCGAAGGGGGAGGTCGGGGCCAAAGGCATGCCCGTGCGAACGGTTGGCGCAATGGTAAGGGACCAGTGCGCTGGCCATCTATCGTTAGCCCAGAGCTTCCTCGAGGTTGAAACATGTTAGTGTGTCCGGAAACATTGGGAAGCGGCAACTTTTCAGAATTTGGTGGGCATCTATTTCCCAACCATCCTGTTGTGTTTTGTAAAGGTTGCTGGCTGAAAACAATTAAATCAGTGGAACATACGGAATTCAGGAGGCCAAAGAGGTTGCCCAAATTCTGAGATATGGTGTAGGTTTGTACATACGAAGAACGTATGCGGCCCAAGGATGCCCCATATGAGGAAATCAAGGGTTTGGGGGGAGGGAAGGCAACGCTGATTGTTAGGAGTAGCGCACCCGTGCGGTATCACTTGGGTTTGTTGTGTCTCGTGGGCCCTCAGCTTAGGTCTCCTTTGGGCTCTCACAGACCGACGTGCTAAGCCAAAACTTATACCCCCCTCCTCCTTTTCCCTCCTTTTCTTCGGGTTGTCGTCGTCCTGTTGCTAATTATGGCTGTCATCCGTTATCCTTGTCTTACTCGATGTTTTCGCCCACCGCCGCTCCCCCATAGCACGTCTTCCCACCGCCCTGCGTCAAGTTTGCTACTCTTCGGGTAAAGGTGGTCGGAGAGAGTGGCAGCGGGAGGAGGAGGGGGAGGGGGCGGAGGGCTACGAGCGCGTGAAAACGGTTGGAGTCTTTGGGGTTTCCAGGAAATGGGGGGGGAGGGGGAACAACGAAGAAACACGTGGTGATGTTGACGGCTTAGAGAGAAGAGAGGACAAGCGAGAGGAGCACCAAGCCATGAAGCAACGCGACGCCCACCATTCAAGGACTTAAGAGTGACGCAGGAGGATCAGCAGTGAGCGCAGAAGAAATGAGAATACAATAATACGAAGGAGGAGTAAGAGGAAGAGGAGGTGGGATAATATTGAGAGACAGGGGCGGGAAGGGAGAGGGAAAATATGATGTTGACACAACACAAGCGCGCCCAACAGGGTGCCATCGCAATGTGTCCAGGCACGTCCGCCAACCCCTCCTCTCGCGGTCTGGGTTGCACGTAGCCTGTCGCTTCGGGCCCCAATGCTAAGCTGGAATTTGATCAATATCTAAGCGTTCAGTGCCTGGAGTCCCCTGGAGTGCCCAAGGTTTCGCGTTATTTCCTATCGGTCCGATCGCCGACGCCGCCACCATTTCATCCTTCCTCCGCCGCCAGTTCCGCCTCATGTTTGTCTGCCCCAACCGGACTACAGTCACCCAAATCGTCCCAGTTGGTTTGTAGAGGCTGTCCTTTTCATAATACCCAGACGGGCTCAAATTCAAATGATTGGTGTTCCTATCTACAGCTCCTGCACTTGATCATCTTGCGTTGCATCGTGATATGCTTAATCATTTGGGCTCAGACTGTTTTGGCTTTTTCGTGGCTGAGGCCTCCACCTGCATGTTTGCAGATTTCATCGCGGAGGCCCCTGCTGACGAGCAGGATGCAGCGGCGCCGCCAGCTGCTGCCGCTGCTGCCCCGCCGCCGCCGCCGATCGGCGATGGCCGAGGCCGCGGCCGAGGGGCAAGGGGCAGGGGCGGCGGCAGGGCCAGAGGTCACCGTGGCCGCGGGCGCGGCTTTCAACATAGTGCTGAGACGAAGGCGAAGATGAAGGCTGCGAGGTCTTCTCGCAAGGCCGATCGGGCCGTCCAGGCACTCACTCGTCGGATTCACGGGCGCGCAGACCAGTTACTAGCGACGGTTGGCTCCCATACGTGTTCTAAGCAGAGCTCCAGGCGCACCCTCCAGCACGTCCAGACACAGCGAGGCGAAGTTGTTGCAGTCGCTATCGATAGGGGGTCCACGCATAAAGCCGATCGGGACAGGATCATCGTGAGCCACGCCAGGGTCCAGGCAGACGGATTGCGCAGATGGTTTCAGGATGATGCTTCATTTTTTGTGCAGTTCACGAACACGTTCGACGATGCATCGATGTGGGTCGCGCAAGAGAACACTGATAACAACACTGGTAACATTGCTGCAGCCATTGAGGATATGGACGAGCCTTTGAGGAAGCAGCTAAAACTGCGAGCTCCCAAAGGTGGTATGAGGCACACCCCCGTGCTCAATGTGGTCGAGTTTGTTTTTAAAGTATGTGGCGCTGGTGACCCTCCTAGCCATGGCTGTTCGGCAACGCCAATCACGAGCCCAGCCCAGACGCTACCACAAGCGAACTACGCTACCGTGATGGACAAGTGGAG